AATTGTCAAGTTTTAAACTTAAATATTGATTATTAACGAAGTTATTGTGTAAAATGTAACTGGGGTGCCATAATACCACCTTCTCTTCTACATATAAGATAAAAAAAGATACGCTAAAAATATACGTGCTTCTCGAATAAAACCTAAGTGATACATTACATATCTTTTTTATAGTTTTAAAAAAGCCGCTTTTTTAAAATTGCTGGAAAAAAATCAGAAAAATTTCGGTTTTTTCCGAAAAATTGGTTTTTTTTGGAAAAATTGCCGTTTTTGCTATGTAAAAGACATAATAAGTAACTTTTAAATTCCCTTATAAAATTAATGCGATCTATGAAATTATGTAGCATTATTTTTATTAAAATTTTTTAATTATCTTTCTATTTTTATAGTAAAACCTAATCTAACCTTCCTTTAGTACATAACAAAGCTTAAGTAGACAAATTTTTATTTCTAGTTTGTCACACTTCAGTCTAATGAATTCCTGAAGTGTCTCTTTGTAGTTTCTTTTTTTCAAATATTTTGTTACGAATTCAGTTTAAATCCAAATTATTTTCTAGACCTACTATTATCATATAAACATGATGTTTGGACTCTATATTTTTAATTCTTAATTTTTAATTAATTAAATCTTGCGTTAATAGTGCAATAGTGTATGTTTTGTATGTTTTATTGAATACATTATGCGACCTCAATCTTTTATACAATTTCAAAATTTCTGTTAACTTTAAAATTTCTGTTATCCCGCTGTGTATCCTATACGCAATTATTTTCTTTACAGAAAGAACCGAGGAGCAAACGTGGTAGGTTACGTGGTAGGTTATGAGCACGTGTGACTTTTTCTACCCTTGGGAAAAAATCCGCGGAAAAATTGCAAAAATTGGGTTTTTTTCCGATCCTTTAAAACTATAATCTTTTTATTATTCCAACCCAAATAATATTCTTCTTCAAAGATATTCTTATTGAAAGTTTTCTTCTTATTTCAACCTAAGTAATAGCAGTTTTAATTTTCTGACAAAAATCATTACTCTTCGAAAAAAACTATTGTACCAAATTAAAAATTAAAACCCACAAATGCTACAGTCTTAACTAACTAAGTTAAAGTCTATCATATTAAAAAGCAAAACCCAAGTGGTACTATCTTTGTTATTTACTTAACTCTAATGATATGTATGATTCGTATAAAAGATTTGATATCAACAACTAGTGCCAAGTTAATTTTCCAAATAACTCATATTATATACATAAACGTTACATTGATATTTACAAGAGGCAATAATTAGCTTTCACTTTTAGCATTTTGCGTCGTACTATACTCGAACGCGTAAATTTTAGGCGCTATAATTCGCTAACTTTAAATGATTATAATTAAAAAATTATTATAGCCTCGACATTTTGGGATTAGAATTTTTGTCTCAAAATAATCTTATAACACGTCTATTGTTATAATATATTGTTACGAAATGTAATCTTTTAACTTGTTTAGAACAAAAAAAAAACAAAAATTTCTAAATGTTAAAAATTGAAAAACTTTCATCGTAGAAAACTTTATCATATCATTATCATTATGCGTTATACTTACCTATCAGTTTCTATAACACATTCTATCGGACTCTTAGCTAGTTTCGGGCAGAGTGAAAGAATTCTTTGCGTAGTATGTACACTATCGACTAAGCACAATGACCCTAAAACATCAATTTCATATTTTGTATACAGGATTTTTTGAAATAGACAAGAAATATTTTTGAGAATACATATTTTATATTAATTACGTATTATTAATTTTTTTCATGCGTTCAAAAACAAACTGTTAACGTTTATGTAAAAAAACAATTTATTGTTACTATATTGTTGATTATTATAACGATATTGAATAAAAATATAATTTTATTGATACAGAAGAGTCCAATTTTATAAATTTTTCAGATGTAAACGTATTTCAGATGCTTGCCTGGCACGCAAAAATAATAAAAGAACAATTAATCACAAAATACATACACGATGCACACACAAGCGCGTGCAACCTTGCAATTTCCGTTTATGATGAAACTTGCGTGTTGTATTAGTGAATATACAGTTTAGCAGTTTAACCGAGAAATGGAGAATTATTTTTTCTTCCATAATAAAAATTTTCTTATTAATAATATTGTATTTATTTGTCATCTACAGATTAATTTACTTGGACAATATTTCGAAATATGATATATCCGTAGCCCTCACTGATGTGATAACAAGAATACTAGTTTCGCAATTTCCGTCTTACTTACACTTGTTAGCAGCATTGACGTATTCGTAACTATTTACGAAAGCTGTAACAAGAGATAAAATGAACCAACAAGCGATACGAAGATCCATGGTCGATCTTCGCTCTGCTATCATCCCTTTGAATAAAATCTGTTTAACAGAATTTCCCGAAAAGAGATTTTCTAATTAACGTCACCGCACTCTCGTGATTTATTTGATTATTGTGGCCATCGTACAAAGAACAGTAATATGATATAGTTATCACTGATTGTGAGTTAAATTTTGCTGGACCAACTCAAGTGGAGCCGCCTGTATTCTAAACGTTGTATACAATTACAATAAATAATTATCCACTTAATTTAAATAGTCTTACGCGCAAACAGTTTTCATAATATTTTCAAAGAATTGAGATATCTTTCAATATGTTAATAAAATATATCTAAGAAGGACGTACGAAATAATAACGTTCATTTTTAGATACACTCTTCCACATGATATCTAATCGCGCGCGCGCGTCGACACAAATAATAGGTTTCAAACGATTATCTTTCTTAAAGGCAGTAGATATATTCACGACATGTATATGTAAAATAAAGTATTTATTATAGCGCGAAGGACATATTTTTTCTCGTGTTAAAAACCGAATTAAATCAAGATTATACTGTTATTTAAAAAGTATCGATTTTTCAATAACACGTATAACTTTCGCTAAACGAATAGGATAGACAATGCGTTCTTTTGTGTTTGGAGCAGATGTTTCTGCTGAAACGTTGTCGGTGCCAAAATGTAGTAGATGCCTAGGTGAAACCGCACACTTTCGCTTTCCGTCCTTGAGACTTTTTGCCGACGCAAGGAATGCCTTTTTGTAGAACCGTCCAGATCGCTTATATCACTGAATCACATATAATCCACAACTGATTGTAACTAAGAACGAAAGTTAG